AGCCTGTTTGCAGTTATGAATAAGATAAACACGAGGCATTAAGCATCCCAGTCTCACACCAGATGGATTAAAGAGAGTGAAGTACAAAATAGCATTCTTATTGTCAATCAAAAGCTGTACAGAACTGCATCTAAGTACATGAGACAGCTTGGAATGAGCCAAAATGGAAATAGGAATTATCCACTTCCACCTCCACAGAAAGGCTGTCTTTTCTTCATTCTGCCTCCCTACACATCCCTTAAGGCAGGCATATCCCTCACAGAAAGATGAAGCAAAAGGCCCAGTTGGCCCCAGTTGTGTAATTTCTGTGGTGCATGTGAATGATTCACCTGGACAACACAAGTGAAGGAGATGAAGCCAAGCAGAAGGACTGAAACTGGATAGAGACTTGGTTTGACAGATGCACAGCTTACTTCTCCTCACTGCCAGAGGAGCCAGAGCAAACTGTTTACCAGCAACACAAAGAAGCTGCAGAAAACAAGAGCTGGTTCTCCTCTGCTCCCACCTCCTCCAAGTCTAGAACGAAAGATCGGACAGACAAGTATTCTCTTCTGGAGTAAAAGCAAAGCAACTCCATATAAGGTTGCAGCATTATTTCTGGTTTACATTTGGGGCCACTCAGGCCACAGTTTTTATCTGGGTGAGTTAATGAATTCACAGGAGGATTTTCCTCTCAATTCCACTGGTATCTAGCAAGGGATAAGAATGCCAGGCTTTATCTCTGGCACCTACTTTCCCTTAAGGCCATGCATGCACTTGATTCTAGGACCTTATTATTTTGATCTGTCTTGGAAGCATATTTAAATCCCAACTACTGATAGCAGAACTGCCCACACAGGATAGGAATCTGGGCTTGTTTTAGTTCTAATGAGCCTTCCAGCCCACTTCTAAACACTCTTCTTTAGCATACTTAGCTTTTGTGTATTCACAGTGATGTCCATGTGTCCCTTAGGATATCACCCAGGCCCAGCGACATCTGTCGTAAGCTCTTATCTGCACAGAAACGTCAGCAAGGGAGCAAAGGTCAAAAAAGAGATATGGGAAATAGTGCACATCACCAGTGTGCCCTCAGAGCTTGGGGGAGTCCAGCAGCTGGGGCTGGGACAGGAAAACCTGTCGTGGGGGAGCACATGACACCAAGCTTTTCCTTAGGCTAGGAAAAGCCTACTCTGCTCTCAGATGCCTCACACACAGCCAGCCCCCAGGTCTGACAGGGGAGTCTGGGAATAGGAAAGTGACTGAGTTTCTCCACTGCCAAAGCTGTGTATGTGGTGTGATGATGGCTTTTACTTTTGCACATGCACAGCCCCACTCCTCCAGCTCCTCACTGACATGCACTGCATGTCCACACATTTCACAGCAAAGGAGTGGCTCATCTGAATCACCAGCAAGAGCAGCAGAGTCTGTCCCCTCAGTGCATCCCCACAGGTTCACCACACAGCTATCTGACCTGGAGGCTTTTCAGAGGTCTCCAAAGGGGAGTTTGTACTAATGTGATCCTCTGCTGCAACGAAAATTTGGGTCGCATGAAGGGAGACATTTTTCAGCTGCTTCTTTACACTCTCTTCAAAGAAAAGGACCTTGGTCCACCCATCTCTCTGGCCTCAATGGAACTGCACAACACAAGGCAAGTATTACACCATGTTAAGTGTGTTGAGAGGGATTTTATGCAGAAACTTCCTTCTGTATTTCTTGCTTCACATCAGTGTGTCACCATATATATAAGATATAAATATATATAAACACATACACACAAATTTACTTGCAGCAGCAGAGGCTTGAACAGACCTGGTTTCAACTATACTACTGTAAATTCCATCCCACCCATAAACTTATACCAAAAACATCCCTGGCTTAATTTATGCGAGGCTCAGTGCTTCTCAAAGAAGTTTATGAAGCTCCAGATATCCAAACTGCATTTAGAATACAGAAGCAGCTACAGAAATCACAAGAGCAAGAACTCACGACCTTGGGTCATAACTGTCTAATAGTTCAGTCTTTGACACAAAAACTGCTCAAGATGCAACTATCTACAATTAAGAATCAATAGATACATAAACCCACAAATTGGTAAGGTATCATTACTGCTTAGATCCTCCTGAAGCTACTAAAACTATCTGAGTGGCCTTCCATTCCTGTTATTTTCCATAGCAAAATAAGTAATTTCACCGTTCTCTACACAATGTGGACTTTGTGAGACTCAGAAGGTGAAGAGAGGAGGAAACACCCTCCCACAGCATGTCAGAAAGGAGTGCCCCTTCCACTGAGATACCACAATTGCTAGACAAATGCTGTTCAACAGGACAGGATGACACAACAGTCAAATTCCAGCTCCACCCCAGTTACCAGCCCCCAGAGTCTCCAAGATGGAGTATTTGTTCCAGGACAAGCAATTGTGGCTAATGCTTGACAATGAGTCACTGATCCTCCTCCCAGACAAATGGGCAGAGCTGGAAAACATGGGCTAGACTAGAAGGGAAGAGTCCCTTTCAGAGGAACCGAGTGTGCAAGTCACTCAGCTTTTCTCTGGGAAAAATACTTGAGTCAATCTGAGTGAGGTTTCCCAGCCCAGACTGGATGCGACTTCGCCTTAAGCCATCCTTGCTGACAAATAAACGTAACATAAACCCTCACACATAAAGGTTGGCAATAGTTTACAAAGGCCATGCACAAAGTGATATTGTTGAACAGAGGGGTCTGGCTAACCTTCAGTGGCACTGACAGTGTGGGTGAGTAGAGTAAGGGAAAGCACAGGAGTGCTGTGAAGCTCAGCCCAGAAGCCTGCCACAGACCTGGTGGCAGCATGTGCCTTTCAGCCACTTCTGTAAACAAGGTGCTGGATGAAACACGACTTAAGACTTTCCCCCTTACTGCAAGCCAGGATTCAAAACAGCAAAAAAACCACATACTAGCCTGATAGAGAAGGGGAGGAAAGCCAAGTAAGATTTATATTCCAGCTACAGCAAACATTTCCCCTGTGCCTGTTACTGAGCTACTATACTACAACTGGGAGCCAAATTCCAGATGCTCTTTACCAATTGGGAATGCCATGCAAGTCTATTTAGCATAACAGGTGAGGTATAGAGAGTTTTCAGATGCTGCATCTTTGCCACAGAAGCAATAGCTGGCTGTGGAAAGCCATGAAAACTGCTTACATGGGCCCAAGTGACATCCTGCGAACACCACATGTGGGCTGTGCTCTCAGTCAGGACTTTGTTTCTCCATCTGCTCTTCCGTTGCATAACAGCTGTCCTTCTTGGGATGAAATATGAAGTTTATGAGCATGAGCCTTTCAAAATGCTCTCCTCAGTGGCCACATGCATGCTGCTGTTACACAGACAGGACTAGTGGCTCCCCTATCCTTCAGGGCCCAACCAACAACTAGTGGCAACGCATTGAGCTCCATGCAGAGAACAGGCAGGTCCTGTGCTCAGGTCAGACACAACACAGCTGGCAGCTCTGAGTGCCAGGCAGAGTGGGATGAGCAGCGTGGGATGCAAAGGGCACACTGTCTGAACATACACCATAGAGCGTGTGTTGTTCACAGCCTCCACTACTCCTAGCAAAATGGCTAAGAGGGAAGTCACAATGAGACAAGAAAAACAAATACAGCACAACTCCCAGAAACTTCACTGAGTCATCAGCTCCAGGCTCCTGTGCCAACAGCAGGCAGTGCACTGCGATTAGTGGGGTTCTTACAGTCACCAGGAACCACCACTGTCACTGTTCAGGCTGTTCTGTGGACTTAATTTGTGTTGCATTATATGCAGACTCAAAATTTGTCTAAATATCTGAATAAAACTTTTTACACAGCAAACTAGTGTGATTCGCTGAGGAATCATGAGCCCACTCAGCACTATCGACACAACACACATCTGTTCCCAGGACTGGTCCTCACAAAGAAACAATCCTCTGGTCTTCCTGATATATTAAAAAGTGGATGTGATTATTTTGGCAGTTGTGACAATCATTTCTTGTCATTATTCTTTGTTAAATAAGCTTAAGTATATATGATATGAAACATTCTCCTAGGAGAGGTAAAAAAAAAAAAAGGTGTGGGTTATCCTAAAATGGGGCATATGCCAAAATTTCAAAATACAATCTATGGAAAATACCTTCAGATTTTGATTCATCTTCATCACATGATTTAATGTTCAGTGAAGAGAGCTACTAAATATTAGAGCATTTCTAATTCAATCCATCCTGCAAACTGTCTTCCATCATGTAGCACAATTTCCAGAAATCACAAAATAGATATAAAATCAATCTTTTAATCCCAAATATGGAGAAACACATACTCTGTGTCACAGTCCAACTGCCTAACATCAGCAGGCTGGTGTTACTCATCCTGCTGCAATCCAAGAACTTTTTCAGGTTTGTGGATGTGTATCTTTATCAGTTTTTAATGTCTCATCTTTGTATCAACTGCTTTATCTAATATTTCAGTTACAGAACCATCTCATGACGTGTAAGAACTTGGACTATGTTACTTCATGATGTGTAAGAACTTGGATTTATGATTATGTCATTAACATGAGCTGATTCATCATGTGATTGCATGTCAGTCTTTCAAAGAAATATTTTGTAGCATGGAGGAGGACTGTGTGTGTTGTAAAAACATTGATCCAGAACTAAGACAGATACCTATCCATGATCTGAGCGCAGATTAGGAAGAATCTCAGCCACCTTAGTGAAATATTAACAGAGGCTGTGGGTTGTCATAGTAAAATGAGAGGCTGCACTGAAGGTAATGTCATTTACGGACATTCAGAAAATTGACATCACAACTGCAGGGACGTATAAATAACCAGCACACTGCGTTTTGGGTCGAACGCAGCAACACTGAACGGAGCATTCCACAGGCTCAGCTCCTCCAACAGCACAGCAGAACCTGGATTTTGCCAAGCACAGCAAGAAGCTCCTTTTCATACAACAGTTCTCCTAACTCCTGAGAGACTTTATTTTCCTTTCAATCGTGTTTGCCATTTCTTTAAAGAAGCATGTGCACGGGAGGTTGTGCCAAGTGCCTGGGAGCCACTCTCATCCCTCTGGCTGTGCTCTGCACCCTCGCTAACATTTTGTTGTTTTTTCCTGGAGGGAAAGTGCCTGAAGACAATACACACATTACAGCAGAGGTCTGGTACTTCGGTGGGATCTTGGGATCTGGTATATTGGTAAGTGTATAAATTCAGATGTTCCCACCTTCCCCCAACCCTGGCTGCAACTTTGCATTATTGAATTCTCTAGTACTGCAAATTCCTCTTCGATAAACAAGTAAGTTACAAGTCATCCAACAGTTTGGCAATAAGTAACTTAATTTACTGATAAGAAAAAAAACCCATAGAACGATTCTATTTAAAATAAGATCTAACTTGAATTCATCCCAATTGAAACTGTGTTTCTGCTATTGGTAGATGATATTCCCTGCCTTGGTATTTTTGGGCCTTCAGAACAATGATTGCTGTGGATGCTGCGGCAATCGGAGCTGTGGAAAGAGATTTGCGGTAAGTGAGAGGAAAAATGGCAAAAAAGTAAAAGTTAGATTGTTACTGATGCGATAAACATATCCTCCTCCCACAGTCATTGCGAGACTAGGCAGATGCTGTTGAGTGTGGGACACAAAGCCCTGACATTTGTCTGAGTGTTGGGAAGTGGAAACAGCAGGCTGGAAAAATCTTGTTATGCCTCTGCTGTTGTGCCACAGGTACCACAATGGTACAGCCTTGTTGGCTTCTGCTACCACAACATACTAATAGTTACTACCAGAATTAAAACCTCTGAAATATCTGCACTTTGTTTTGCAGAACATAACAGTTCTCTCTTTAGCCATTTCTTGTTGATAGTTTTAAAAATTATTCTGGCAGTCAGGCACGACATTCCCAACTCTCTGCAGACCCATGCCATGGGCTGTATCTCATTAGGTTCACAGGAAACTTCAGGAAGGAATAGACCTGAGGAGCTCACCTAATCCAACCTCCTCCTTAAAGCCATGTAGACTAGGCTCCACTTGGAATTTACAGCTTCCTTTCACACTAAAAAGTTTCCAGAGGATACCTTCAGACACTAGGAAACCTTTTGAGCAGTTTAGTTTAAAAATTAAATCAGAGAAAAATAAAAGTGTTTCTAGTAGAAATGTCTGATTTTTGAAATAAATTGTTTGGATCAAGTAGATCATTACACTTTTGATAAAGGAACAGATTTTCAATTAAGAAAAAAAGAAAAAACAAATAGGAAAAGAATCGTGACTGTGACTAGATTAGCTTTGCAGACCACATACTGCTCAGTTCCAAAGGCTGAGGGGTTGCTGCCCCTCAAACCCCATGGGGCTGTGCAGGTTGCACAGTGCCCTGCTATGGGCTCTGGCTCCCCCACCCCTGTGAGCCAACCTGCCCACGCTCTGCTGCTGGCAAAGCACCCTTTGCTCTTTGCTGGCCAGCGTGTTAGAGTGCAGCTGACTGAGAAACTGGGAGTATTGATACAGTCACGAGTAGCAAGTGCACTGTACTAGAGGAGTCTGACTGGTCTTATCGCCATCAGCATGACTGAGAGCTGAATTTGTTCTTGTATGTTAGCAGAAATCATTATTATGGTTCTACTACATACACAATTCTTAAGTTAGCCTCATCAGATATATCAACATAAAAATGCATATCAGTACTCAAGGCAGGAGTCTCGTGACAAGGTCTGAACAAAAACTCACGTTGGATTCAATGATTAGAGGCTGTTTCCAACCTAAATGATTTTGTGACCTGAAAGTATGAAGTTTTTTCCTCCACCTCTATCACTTTGATTCAATAAAAGACACTAACTCTACCTACAAACTATTATAGCTACAAGTGTTCCAGAATTCAAGCAGGGCATTTGTTTTTGCATGATTTACTTACGTATTAGCATATATGAAAATGCTGTAATAGAAAGCAGAAAAATAGGGACATACTTTCCAATCCATTCCAATTGCACTCCTAGAGCTAACACTGATAAGTACCTGTAAGGAGATAAGTACACTAATGTGAAACCTGAAGAGAGACTTGGGAAGGACCAAGATACCAAAGCTGATTTGTAAGGGGTACTGAAGATTTTTTTTCCAATGCCTTCAGTGGTCCAAGACTTCAGTCTTGTAACCTGAGGAAGACGTGGGAAGCAGAGGAACGGAGAGGGCTGTGGGCCAAGGCAGCCCAGAGGGGAGCAGTGCCATCTGCTGCCAGCGCCTGCCCTCTCCTCCTCAGGCACACAGTGCCACTGCTGCCACAGCTTTCAAACACCAGCGCAGGGATGCACTGCACAGCTATCGTGTAACTGCAAACTAACATATTTCAGCTGATCAGGAGTTGACTATTTGACCGTTAAGAGCTGAATTTAGAGAATGTACAATGACATCAATAGGGTACATTTCATTGTCTGAATGAGAACAAAAATAACATTATTTTTCTCTTCATCAGATGTTTTCTTCTATCATATTTGCCGCAATTGGAGTTCTGGGAGCTGGATACTGCTTTATCTTGTCAGCAGTAGCCCTGAACAAAGGCCCTAAATGTAAAAATGGAAACGACTGGGTCTACCCTTTCAAAGATGGGTAAGACAAGGCAATCGGGAAAAAAAATATATACATGTTTAAAGTGTGTGATTTGATTCAGCTTCCAAATCTGTTGTATAAAACTGGGAATTATACTGTTTGTATAAAATACAAGCTTTTAGAAGTGCCAGCAACACAAAGAAACCCTTCATAAGGTTCAAGAGCAGAGATGTAAAGAATAGCAAGGGCAGTCAAAACAACTGAGTTTCAAAGGAGCCAATAAAGGGAAATGCATAGCCTCCTTCTAGGTCAGTCTTGGGATGATAAACAGTATACAGGGATAAATTCCACCTAGATGAGTAGCAATGACATATTGTGAGATGCATCCCAGAGTCCTGAGGGAATTGGCTGATGTAGTTGCCAAGCCACTCTCCATGGTATTTGAAAAGTCCTGGCAGTCAGGTGAAGCCCCAGGTGACTGGGGAAAGGGAAACATTGTCTCTGATTTTAAAAAGGGTAGAAAGGAGGACCTTGGGAGCAAGTGACTGGCCAGCCTCACCTCTGTTCCTGGGAAGATTATGGAAGGATCCTCCCAGAAGCTGTGCTGAGGCACATGGAGGACAGAGAGGTGATTCAGGACAATCAGCACAGCTTCACCAAGGGCAAGTCCTGCCTGACCAACCCAGTGGCTTTCTGTGAAGGAGTGAGTCTATCAGTAGACAAGGAAGCTAAAGATGTCAGTTATCTGGACTTCTGTTAAGCCTTTGACACAATCCCCCACAAGATACTGCTCTCTGACTAGGAGAGAGATGGGTGTTAGATGGAGAAGAAAGTGGTTGGACAGTCACATCCAGAGTGTTCAACAGCTCAGAGTCCTGATGGACATCAGTGACAAGTGGTGTCCCTCAGGGGTCCATACTGGGACTAGTGTTATTTAATATCTTAATTAACATCATAGACAAAGGGATCAGTGCACCCTCAGCAGGTTTGCAGATAACACCAAGGTGAGTGGTGCAGTGACACACCTAAAGGATGGGGCTATCCAGAGGGACCTGGACAATAAGGTTTAACAACATCAAGTGCAAGGTGCTGCACCAGGGTTGGGGTAACCCCCTGTATCAATCCAGTTTGGGGGATGACCAAATCAACAGTAGCTGTGGGGAAAAGGACTTGGGGGTGCTGGTGGGTGAGAGGCTGGACATGAGCCATCAATATGCACTTGCAGCCCAGAAAGGCTGCACCAAAAGCAGCCTAATTGTAGCCTTCCAGTACTTGAAAGAACCAGTAAGAAAGATGGAGACAAACTCTTTGTAAGAGCATGCAGTGACAGGACAAGGGGGAGTGGCTCCAAACTGAAAGAGAATAATTTTGCATTGGATATTAGCAAGAAATTCTTCCCTGTGAGAGTGGTGAGGCAGTGTCACAGGTTGCCCAGAGAAGCTGTGGCTGCCCCATCCCTGGAAGTGTTCCAGGCCAGGTTGGATGGGGCTTGGAGCAACCTGGGCTAGTGGAAAGTGTCCCTGCCCATGGCAGGGGGTGAAACGAGATGACCTTTAAGATAATTTTCAACCCAAACCATTCTGTGATTCTATGATTATATTGAATTTTGATGGTAATCAAATAATTAGTATCTATGTGTCGTTTTATCTTGGCTAGGGCATTAGGAAGTTGCCTGTTCCTCACACTCTGCAATTCAAACATTCACTGTTACGTATATTTATCACTTACCCCCAGCAATCCCACTGCTTAGGCAGAAGTCAGGACAGGTCCAATAGAAAACAGAGTGCAATGTGTTTCTGAGAAGAGTAGGTGTGATCAGAACAGCAAGGGGTGCAGTAAACTCATCACCTCAGAATTATAAATGCAGTCTGCCTCAGTCAAGAGTGACCTGGCAGTGTTTCTTGCATAATACAACACAAAATTATAGTCCAGGTTGAAAAGAAAATAAAACAGGAAGTATGAAGTTGTATGATATACATTGTTGGTTCATAGGCCAGCAAGGGCTGGAAACCAACTCCCTTGGTCTCATTCTGAAAGTCTTTGGAAAAATATGCTGTGTTCCAAACATAGTTTTGGTTGCAGTCATGAAATCACTTGACAAGAACACAGGAAACAAAACAGTACTAAGAATAAGCAGAGGAAATATAGTAAGTGGTTAAGAAGTTCACAATTAAATCAAAATAGGAAAAACACACACACAAAAAAAGACAAAACACTGGCACAGACAAACAGCCATTTGGCACACACTTGGCCAAGATCTCTTCCCAAAACACCAGAATTGGTTCAATTGTATCAAATACATACTTGTCTCTGATTGTTCCCTTCTGATGCCTTTTCAAATCAATTGCTTCAATTGATCTAGAAACCAAACCAAAATGATGTTCTAGCTATGTAGCACAATAGAAATTCTTCACAAAGTGAACAGAACCTCAGCCATGTCACAGCAGTGACAACCCCTCAGCTATGACAGAAACCTCTCTGCAAGCTAACACCATCTTCTTCCAACTGCTTTGTTCCCCCACAGGAATTACCTCGGTAACCATAACCTGTGGGACAAGTGTCAGTCACCTGAAAATATTGTCCCATGGCACCTGACCCTCTTCTCCTTGCTGCTGGTCATGAGTGGGATCCAGGCAGTGCTCTGTGGCATCCAGGTGGTGAACGGTCTGTTTGGAACCCTCTGTGGGGACTGCAAATGCTGCGGATGTTGTGGGGTGAGCAGCTGATGGCTTTCCTTTGTTGCTTTACGTACTGATCAGTTATATGAACACCTGACCAGCTACAGCCTGAAAAACTAGCTGACAAGCTCCATGCAGTGCTACCATCATGTTTTCTAGAGCATAGCCAAAACCCTGCACTGCTGCCACTGGAAAATAATAAAAACCTTTGAAAGTCACAGCAATAGCAGCTACTAAATTACCTCCGTGTTTTTGTTCTTCCAGGGAGATGGAACTGTCTAAAGAACATGAATATTACAGACAACCCTCCTTACCTTGGGGGGAATCCCTTCTCAGATGCACTGGTGCTGGCTAAGAAGATAAGAATGAAGGGCACTTCCCCCCACCGATGTTATAAAGCCCTGACTCCCTTTCTAGCCTTCCTGAAATGTCTCATTGTGGAATAAAATAAGTGAAATTCTCACATTTGTATTTATTTTGTATTTGTATTTATTCCATTTAAAAAGAGGGTATTCTCAAGCCAAATACAGTTTTGGGTTACAATTTCTATTCAGGTCAGTTAGGTAGCTTGTAACTCCTCAGAACTTCTGATCTATACATGAGCACAAATGCTATTTATTAATCTTTTGGCAAAAGCTCCATTTAGCTTTGTTTGGCACAGTGCTATGAAAGAGATAGAAAAGACAAAAGAGAGCTCCAAGGCAAAAATACCTCTTAGAAAGAACTAGTCTTTTAAAACTTTAAAAGAAAAAAACTATTTCCCAAAGAAATCAAGGAGGAAATAAGAGGGATTAGAGATATTTGAGGGATTCCAATCAACTGATACTTAAAAAATAATTCCTGAAACAAATTTTCACAAACCAGCTCCCCAGGCTGGATGTCTCAAGGCTTCTTGGTATTTTTCACATCTGTTCTCTAAAATTTTCCTCCTGAAATAATGATTCTGTGGCCTGTGTTCTCAGAAAATGTGTTTCATATACTCTGTCTACACTAGGGATAACTGAAGAGCTTAAAGTACTCAAAAGCACTAAAAGCTGTTGAGCAATATGCAGAAGTGTTGAACAGCTCGATTTAGGCACTGAGAGTTACATTAATAAAAGCCTAGTGGGCTGAGAGATACATTGTGAAAGATGATAAATTATAAAATCCCTCTCCAGACACAGCTGTCTGTCCCACCTGTTGTACTCTGCTGCACGGGAATTTGAGAGCACCCATGGTATCACCACCCCCTGAGCAACCATCTCACATCTATCCTTTCTTCTGTGGAGAGCAGCTGTCCTGCACCTCATCTCCCATTTGTCTTGTCTTATTTATACAAAGCCTTTGGGAACATGGAATGTTTCTCGTCAGCATTCAACAAACGGATGGGTAACTACATAGCACACAGCTTTGATATATTAATAAACACAGCACATAAATTGCTGTGGGAGATGGAGTAAGAAATAATGGACAGCAAGCTGTGATACCTAACACCAAAACCAACGGGTGCATCATGAGTCAGTTCTTCTAGACACCTGACAACACAGTGGTTTTCTAACACGAGCTAATATACAGCAGAAACTGACACAAGGCAGACACATTTCATAGAATCATAGAATTAAAGAATTTTAGGGGTTGGAATGGACCTTACAGATCAACTAGTCCCAACCCCCTACCATGGGCAGGGACACCTCCCCACTAGACCAGGATGCTCAAGGCCTCATCCAGCCTGGCCTTGAACACTGCCAGGGTCAGAGCAGCCACATCCCTGGGCAACCTGTGCCAGTGTCTCACCACCCTTACAGTAAAAAACTGGAGCAAACACTGGAGCAAGCCCAGGTGCCCGAGCAGGGAAGGCTCATGTGCTCCATCACACTCCCCACACAGGTGGAGGCTGTACCCCAGAGGGTGGACACTGGCATCACAGTGAAGAACATTGTAACAAAGTCCCATTGTGTTGGCAGGGATGTTATAATTTCAGTAAGGCAGCGCATCCTGATCCTGTGAAAAAGTAATTTGGCAAGGAAAAAAAGTGATTATTTTGGGTTTTTTTAATCACCTCCACTACCCCCACCTGGCACTGCTAGTTTGCCGCAGGGCCAACAAACAAACACGGATTGCTCTCACCCGCGGAGCCGAACAGTCCAACACCATTAGCAAGCAATGAAAATCACACAATCTACCGATTAATTATGCCACTTAGAGTAATTTATGCTATTACTTGAAAACAGCTATGCGCAGAAAGCTGCACCAGCGAACGTCTCCACCGCCCCGACCCGTAGGAGCTTTGCCGGTGCTCGCGGCAGCAACTCACGGGCACGGCGGGGCCGAGAGCCCGCCCG